GTGGCAGAGCACCTGCCTAGCACTCATGAGCCTTGGGTTCAATCTCCTGCACTGCAAAAACAAAACACAACAAATAAAACCAGCCAGAAACACTGAGACCCTAAAGGTGGGATCTTTGGAGCAGTGCTTCACGGGGAAGGGAGCGTAATTCCCACTTGCCAGAAGCACGATGTAGCACCTTAAAGCATGTGGCACCTGCTCTCTTCAATGTGAATGCAACCCACAGCCTTTTATTCCGGGAAAGATAAGTAGGGCAAATTTTTCATCACAGGAAAGATTAAAAACGAAGCCCTGAGCTTTCCTGGTGGAGCAGCAGGACGGGCTGCGGGGTTGTTGCTTGAGATGATGCTGGCACTGCAGTGGCTTCCTCTGTCTCTTGTCCACATAATACCCCCACTCCATCTCCCTTGTCATTTAGGAGGCCAGAAGCCTCATGTTACAAATGCAGGAACAGAGGCTCAGAGAGAAGAAAGAACTTAAGGCACACAGGGAATTAAACCCCAATCTAGACTGACTTCTAGGGCAAGATTTCTTTAAGGCCCAATTGTTTTCAAAACTCTTAATATGAGTCAGGCGTAGTGGCACACACACCTATAATCCCAGCACTCAGGAGGCTGAGGCAGGAGGATTGTTGCAAATTCGAGACCAGCCTGGGCTACAAAGTGAGCTCAAGGCCAGCCTGAACTGCATAGCGAGACCTTGTTTAAAAAAAAAAAAAAAAAAGCTCTTAATATTAAGAGAATGGAGAGAAAGAGCAGTGGAGGAGGCAGGAGAACAGAAGGAGAAAGGCTGGAAAGCAGACAGGCTGGGGAGCAACCAGAGACTTTGTGTGGGGCGGGGGCTGGGGGAGACTGGGGTATCTGAAGGGGAAAAGGGAGAATGGAGGCTGGGGCCTGGCTGGGTTATTTTCAGAGCTGCTATCTTTGACTGCATCTGCTGAATTATTAAACTGAGACAGCATCCCAGAGGGCGCCAGGCCAGGTTGCCAGGAGGAGACTGAAAGGGAGGGGTTGGATTTCTTAGCTGAGACTTAGCACTCAGGAATCTTCTAGGCTGGGATGAGAGTGGTGTCCAAGTCTTGATCTCCTGCTTCACCCCACTGTCATCTCACTGATTGGGGGGGTCTGCCGGGGGCCAAGCCACACTCCGAAAGGCTCTGTTGTTTCCACTGGCTGCTCTTCCAGGGGGTATAGACCCGACGGCCTGCAGGGCCTGACCCAGGCTGTCTGGTTTCTTCCAAGTTCCCAGTCTCAGACCACAGTTTTGATCAGGTGGTCATAACCACCTTGTGAAGTCTTGAGCAAATCTTTGCATCTGTTGATGTCCTTGTCTATGCTGAAGGCATTGGCAGGTCCATGTCTCACAGGAGGATCCTAAAGTTCAGAGAAGACAAAGGCCTTTCTCAGCACTTACAGAGCCAGGAAAGGGTCGAACTTCTATCCATACACAAGTCTCCTGGATCCCAGCCCTCTTTTCCCTCCTCCTCCTCTTCCTCCTGTTCCTCTTGCTTCTTCTTTTACTTATTTTGTTTTTCTTTTGAGACATGCAATTTAAGTTGACCTTGAGCTCACTGTGTATCCCAGAGTGGCCTCAAACTCCTGGTGATCCTCCAGCCTCAATCTCCCAAGTACTGGGATTATAGGCACACACTACCATGCCCAACCATCTCTTTATTGTTTTTTTCTCTCTCTCTTTATTCTTTTTAAAGTATTTTTCTCTATTTTCTTTTCAATAAAAGAAATGTATAACTTTTAGAAAGATCAAAAGACCGTACAACCCATGATAGTTTAAAAGTGCAAAGTTGAGGCCAGGGATTTAGCTCAGTGGCATAAACATCTGCTTGGCAAGTGCAAGGTTGTGAGTTTGATTCCTGGAACCAAAAAACAAAACAAAACAAAAAAACCCAAAAATACCCATGCATTAAAAATGTACTATTTTTTTAAAAAGTGCACAGTTGCCGGGTATAATGGTACATACCTCTAATCCCAGCACTCAGGAGGCTGAGGCAGGAGGACTGCCACAAGTTGGAGGACAGCCTGAGCTTCATAGTGAGTTCAAGATCAGCCTGGAATACATAGTGAGATCCTACGCCCCCCCCCCCAAAAAAAGGCTAAGGATGTAGCTCAGTATCGGAGTGCTTGCCTACCATGTGCAAAGCCTTGGGCTTGATCCTCGTTATATGTGTAGGGGGCAGGGTCCTTTCATTCTAAATGCTGTGTTTGCCAGGCTGGATAGTCGGTTGGTTGGCTGTGGCTCCTGTCCACTCCTGGGAGTGTGGAGTTCAAACCAGTTAAGGAAAATGGCAAGAAAGCTGGCAGATGCCAAACCTCTCACCTCTAGTCCTCTGGATAAGGTGCTCCCGCCTAGAATTCTCCTCCTCTCCTTTCCCATCTCTGCATCATTTGCTTTAGTTCATCTTTTGTCTCAGTTTAAATTCTACTTCCTGGGACCGAGTTATTTAGTTTAGTGGTGAGCGCTTGCTCAGCATGACTCAGACTCTGGGTTCCATCCCCACACCAGAAAGAAGGGGGCACAATGATTAAATACCATCTTCAGTTGGCTTCCGTGTTCCTCTGTGCTTCCCCAGTCCCAACAGAAACCTCACTGCACTGTGATCACCTGTCCAAGTGCCCTTTGGACTCACCGAAAATGGGGCCACCTGGGCTTTCTCTACTTCCCACAGTCAGCCCAGCAGAGGTGGTGATGATCAAGTTGTTAAATGAGTGAAACAAAGCATGGATGAGTAAATGAATGGAGAAGGGGGATTTCCATTCTTAGCAAGCTCTGTCTTTGCATTATTTTTCAACTAAAACACAAGTTGGTTGGGCTTGGGGCTGTAGCTCTGCATGTGCAAGGCCCTGCGTTTTATCCCCAGAGTTTTTTTTTTTTTTTTTTTTAAGTTTATTATGTGATTTATGGAGCCAGTTTTAGAGGACTCTAGTGATGAGCAAAACTAAAACAAACACATATGTCTGTACCTTGTGGGGAATGCCATACAGGACCAGAACAGGGAATATTGTCAGAGAATAATGGGGAAGTGAGATAACTTTGGTTTTTCATCGTGAAGTAAAGGCTGCTAATCCTACTCTAAAGGGATATAAAGAGATAGAGAACATTCATTCAGTAATTATAATGTACGGGGGATTGAACTCAGGGTCTTTAGCATGATAAGTGCACTCTTTGCTACCCCTGCAGTTCCAGCCCCCTCAGAGAATTTAGCATCTAACGTTCTCCCATTCAGAGAAATTAGTGCCCAAGTCACCCAGAAGGAGCATGATGGTGGCTTTTGAACACAGATCTGTCTGGCTTGCTGGATCTGGCCCACAGTGGGGGTAGGGTCATTCCCGATCTTGCTCCCCTCCATTCTGGGAGCAGGGCTCTGCCAGAGGCAGGCAGAGCACCTGTCAATTTCATTGCCCCGATGGGAGAGCCTCTGCACAGAGAAAGATGTGAGGTGACCCTCTGAGCCTCCTGTGACCCCTGCACCCACCCATCAGTACCAGCCCCCTCCATCACCTGCACTGAAGGCTCTTCTTCACCTCTCTGAGCCCTCACCCCTTGCAGAGTCACCACCAACAGCCCCTTCTGCCTCCCTGGCTGAGTCTCCACTACTTCTGGTCCCTGCTTCCTTCTCTCTGAGTCTTCCTCTTCTCTCTTCAGGAGCCCAGCCCCCCTGCCCTCCCTCCCTGCTCTCAGAAGCCTGCCCACCTGCCTCTCTGCCTCTCAGGAGCAGAGCTGTCTCACCCACAAGACCCCATCACTTATGCAAAGGCACCAGTGAGCACTCAGAGAGCGTGGGGGAGGGGGCTCTTCCTCATTGCCAAGCACCCTCAGCAGCCTCCTCTTCTCGGGGTGGGGTACTACTCATGCTGGTGACCCTTTTGCTGGTCCTCCTGAGCCCAAAGTCTGCTGCAGTCCTTCTGAGTGGGTTTCAGAGCCAGTTTCTGGCCTTTCATACCTTGTTTCCTCCTACATAGTCACCTCCCATCTTTGGGGTCTGCTTGTACAATATTTGAAGGCACCTTCAAGCAGCTGGAAACCGAGGTGGAGCCAATATCCTAGTAATGTCTGGAAAAGGGACCAGCAGGGCTACTACTGCTGCGTGTAAAGTGGACAGGGCTCATGCTTTCATTTTGCCAGGATGACAAAAGTCCCATGTACGGAGGGTCCCTCCACCACAGGGCAGCTGGGTGTCTCAGCCTTCAAACATATGAACGGTAGAGCTAGTGTACATCTGTCCAGATTCATCCACCAGCCAGCAGTGTGACCTTGGGAAAGGCACTGTGGCAGCTTCTGAGACTCTTTCCCTTCCACATGAAAAATGTGGAGACACCTGCTGGGAGGAGCATGCACAGGCAAGGGTAAACTTTGGGGGGGCCTGAGGCTCCTGTGTGTGTGTGTGTGTGTGTGTGTGTGTGTGTGAGACCAAGGTTTGTGAGACCTCAGCAGCTATGCGGCGGTTCTTGTCCTGCAAGCAAAGGGCCTGACGGGTGTGGAGCCAGATGCACATCCTCCCTGGATGCCACTCTCTCCTCTTCTTCAACCCCTCAGTTGTCCCTGGGAGATAGAGGGGATCCTTGATAGCCCTGTGCCTAAGAGACCAAGCAGAAACCGATTCAGCCACGGGCGGCTTGAGGTAGGGGAGGGAACACTACGTAAGGAGTTGAGGCCCCCTGAGTTCTGGTGCAGGCTTTCACTGCCACTTGGGGGCTTCAGGTATCCCCTTTCCACCCCGACCCCCTGCCCCGTGCAGGCTATATTCTAGGCCTTGTAAGACGCAGGCCAGGAAAGATATGGTTTCCTTCCTATCCCAGATCCGGGAAGAGGTGGATGGAGAGCTGATGCCGTAATAGGGATTGAGTTGGGCGAAAGACCTGGGACCTGAAGGGTTTCAGGAACATCCTGAACTCCCGCGGCCGAGGGAGGAGGGGCGGGTTCAGGACATGCCGGTCTCTGATTGGCTATACTGCCCATCGCTCCGCCCCGTGTCCTATAAGATGCCCCCACGGCGAGTGCGGCGCTGGCGTGGGCACTGCGGCCGCCTCTCTCAGCTCTAGTCAGGCGCCTGTCCTTCTCTAAGACCGACAGCCGTAGGCCGCCGGGGGGCGGGGGATGCCGGGCTGCCGCATCAGCGCCTGCGGCCCAGGGGCCCAGGAAGGGACGGCAGAACCGGGGTCCCCCCCGCCGCCGCCCCGGGAGCCCCTAGGGTCCCCTCAACCCCCGCCCCCTACTCCGACCTTGACCCCGACTCCCCCTCATTCCCCGCCGCTGTCCCAGGCGGCCCCGGCGTCTGCTGGCGCGGCCGAGGGTCAGGAGCTGCAGCGCTGGCGCCAGGGCGCTAGTGGGGGCGCCGCATTGCCCGGGTCGGCTGGAGGCGCGGGTGCGGCGGGGGGCCGCGCGCTGGAGCTGGCCGAGGCGCGGCGGCGGCTGCTGGAGGTGGAGGGCCGCCGGCGCCTGGTGTCGGAGCTGGAGAGCCGTGTGCTGCAGCTGCATCGCGTCTTCCTGGCGGCCGAGCTGCGCCTGGCGCACCGCGCCGAGAGCCTCAGCCGTCTGAGCGGCGGCGTCGCGCAGGCCGAGCTGTACCTGGCGGCGCACGGCTCGCGCCTCAAGAAGGGCGCCCGTCGCGGTCGCCGCGCCCGCCCGCCAGCGCTGCTCGCCTCTGCGCGTGGCCTGGGCGGCTGCGTGCCCTGGGGGGCCGGGCGGCTGCGGCGGGGCCACGGCCCGGAGCCCGACTCGCCCTTCCGCCGCAGCCCGCCCCGCGGCCCCGCCTCCCCGCAGCGCTGACCCCGGCGCGGGACCCAGCGGCCCAGACGAGCCCTCGCCGGCGGATGGCGTCGCCTACGCAGGTGGACGGAGTGAACGACCGCGGGAGGACACTGTCGGGGTCCAGGGGCACAGTAAAGGAGGCTGAGGTGCGGTGTCAGCGGCTGGTGCTTTTCGAGGGGTGGGCGTGAGGGGTGCGGGACCTGGGAATCCCCCTCCCTAGGGCTCCTAGTGTCCTTCAATAAAGCTGTCCACTCTCCTTGCCCCCACCCCCAGCCACTGCGGGATGAAGTGGTGGTACCAAGTCTTCACTGTGGAGTTGGACCAAATGGGGGGGGGGGCTTAGTTCCCGAGAGGGATCTGGTGGCAAACTTAGCAGCAGGAGCCTGCTGCACTGATGCAGTGCCCCCACCCTCACCTCCACTCGCCTGACCTTTTCTGGGTCCCTTGAGGGTTGTAGAAGTCTTGCCCTTGAGGCTGCTGCTTTCTGGCATCAGCCAACTTGGTACATTAAGGAGGGCAGAATAATGAAGTCCCAGGATGGGGACTAGCACAGAGTTGTGTACTTGAGGTCTTCTCTGCGCCCCTATTTCCCATCAAGAGGGAATCCTAGAGAGGTTGAGGATTTGTTCCTGACACTTAGGCCTTCTGTTTCTAGGAGACTGCTTAGCTAAGACTACAGCCCCGAGAGGACAGGGTGTTTACCACCTGCTCACCTAACGCCCCCCCCCCCATGACTCTCTAGGGGTTACAGCCCCTAGGCACAGGTGTGGCATCAGATTCCAGAAGGAGAGGCCTTAAAGGGCCAGACTAGAAATATGATATGCTGCTTCCTGTCCCAATCCCCATTCAGTCCCCCATTCTTCCCCCATTCAGCTGTGAGTGGCCTGACCACTCCTGCCCACACTAGTTGTGGCCTTACTTGACAGTCTGTGAAGTATCACCTCTCCCAATAAAAGGGGAGTTAACACAGGGCAGAGGACTATCTTTTTCCACTGTAAAAATCATGGAGGTATTTTACTTTTTTTCACACCTAGAGATAGTGATTGCTTCTGCTTAGGAAGCCAGGAGTTCATTTACAGTCCTTATTTACAGAAGACAGAGGGAATTTCTCAAGGTCACATGCCACTAAGGAGGGAAGCAGGTCCCAGGTCTGTGTGTGGCTTCTGCATAATATCCTAAGCCTGGGCTTGAGAGGGCTGACCTCTGGACCCCATATGCTGTGTGACCTTGCACCACTCTGCCCCCTCTCTGGGCAGCTCTCCTCAGTCTTTCTCTTGTCTGAATATGACTGCCCCTCTTCACCTCAGGGCTTGACAATGGAATGAAAGGGGAGGATGATAATGGCACAGGATTCTCGTCTAACCTTGTGAACCCAGAAGAGGTTGAGGTACACTGTCAGGCAGGGGCCCTCAGCTCACCCTCATCAATCCTTCCTCTTCCCAGGTACCAGACTTTTTGGCAGGTTTCTCCACTAACGCTCAGGTCTCCTTGTGCCCCTCTTGGCTGGAGTAGGGAGGTCCAAGAGGAGGTCTGAGAGCCCTTGAAAAAGCTTGGAGATCAGGAGCACAATAGGGAGGCCCCTGGCAGTCTCTGGCCAAAGCCATTCAGGTCATTTGGAGAACAGGTGACAGTGAGGGAGAGCTTGGGCTGCAGTGCTGGGCTGCAGCCAGGACTGCTTGGTTTCTGGGTTGCTAGGGAGGGAATTTGGTCCAGGGAAGCCTTTAGCTAATGGCATAAAGTGCTTTGTGCCTTCAGTTTTGCCTTTCTCTGGGATTTATTGGTAATCTGATTTGGGGGTTGGTAGGTGGAGAATTAAAGATGATACTTCTACATGTATGTATGGGTGTACATGGAGGTCAGTCTTGGTGTCACAGACCGCTCTGTCCCCTCCTTCCACTTCCAGATGGCCCGCCACTCCCCACCAGGCACCTCTGCCAAGGCACACAGAGTACAGTGACTTCCCTTCCTGCTTCTTAATACACTGTCCTCAGCCAATTAACAGGTCACCTTCTCACTCCTGCGTGGCCTACTCAGGGACCTCTTTAGAAGGTCCCCAGCCTTGGTCCATATTCTTAATAGATGTTAATTATTGACTCAGTCCAGGGTTTTCAGCAAGAGACCTAAATCTAAGTCTCTGCCCCACCCCTTTGGTATTGGGGATTGAACCCAGGGCCTTCACAATGAGCAAAGGTTTTATTTTGAGATAGAATCTTGCTAAGTTTACCATACCCATTGGGTCTCTGCTTTTAAGGGTTTATATCATTCCAAGCCTCCAGGCAGCCTACTCTGGCTATTACCCCAGGGGACCTTTGGTGCTGAGCAGTCTGTATTGTTGTAGGGCTATTTTTATTTTTTATTTATTTATTTTTTTATCTTTTTTGGTACTAGGGATCGAACTCACGACCGCACACCTGCAAGGCAGGCGTGTATGCCGCTGAGCTAAATCTCTAGCCCCTGTAGGGCTATTTTTAGAGCTCCATTAATAACTGCAGTTCCTGAATAGGAGGCAGACCCTTCTTTCCCCAACCCCCTGACTTCCTGAGCACTTTCATGAGGGTCCCCACCTTGGGGACAGGACTGAACACAGGGACCTGGGGGGTGGGGAACCTATGCCCACCGTAAATCTAGGCTGTCAGCAAAGGGAAATGGGAACAGGCACCTTTCTTAAAGTTACAGACTGGGAGAACAGCTCAGGGTTCTAGTTTGGAACCTACTGCTCACTGGGATGAGCTCTTTGGTCTCTTGGTTAGCGCCAACAGTGTGTGAGCATTCCCAGCAGAGGGCAGTGTGGAGCTACTTTGAGAAACCTGTGGGCGTGGCCTAGGGCAGACTCCACCTCCCGTCGCCCCGCCCGGCCCACCCTGCTCGGTGATCTAGAGCATCCTAGGCTTTGAGCTGTGCAGTCGTGGAGGTCCACGCAGTTAACGGGTTTTGGGGTGGGCGGAGCTGGAAGCCCAACCTGCACTCTGCACCGGCTTCCTGGAGGCCAGAGCCCACCTGCAGAAGGGGCGGAAAGGTGATCCCGGACCTCAGAGGAGACGTCCATTAGGAAAGATTACCTCTAAAGAACGGTTACCATAGTTAAAAGTTCAGTCATTTCGTTATTCGCTGATTACACTGTTACGCTGATAGTTGATTGGAACACCGGGTCCCACGGTCACCTGGTGGCTGAGATGGCTTCCTAGAGATGAGACACTCAAAGGACAGGTGCTGCAAGACTGCCTGATGTGGGCAGCGTCCTGGAGGGTTATCTGGTGCGCCGATTCCTTGAGCAGGACTCAGCTGCCCAGGAATCTCACAGCTGAAGAGACTGCCTGCTTTATTGCTTGCGAGGGAGGAAGTACTTGGGAAAACTTGGAGAGTTCCAGCCTGTTCTTCCATTAGTCCCTGACCACACCCTGGCCAGAAGTAATGAGAGAAGGGAAGCCTTGGTGCTGGGATAATACATGAACCACCTCCTCCCTGTCAGGCATTGTGCTAGGCACTTTACATCCATTATCTGTTTTGTTCTCTTAACCACTTTGCAAAGTCAGGGTTATTATCCCCATTTCAACAGAGGAGGAGGCTGGGGTCAGGCAGAGCAATGAATTGCCCAATGACTTACACCTGTCAGTGAAGCCTTAAACAGTAGGCTCTGAGGTGCCATTTGCTTTCATGAGGGCTCTTCTTGGGAGGATCTCTGGACTGTCACCTTTAAGGCTGTGCATAGTGACCCCTGCTCATTAGTTCCAGAGAATGTGATGAAATGCTGGGGTGAACAGAGTGGCAGAATGTACCCTGTTCCCCCTAGGTCTGGGCACAGCTCAGCCTGGTTGCCTGGGCTCGGCGGGGGGGGGGGGGTGTGTGAGTCAGACTGACTCACTACACCTGGGCCAAGGATGCTCAGGACTGCAGGCAGGGGCAGGGATTGCCTTGGAGGGCTGCCTCCTCTCCTGGCAGGTCTAGCCTGGGATGTTTGGTTGTTAAGGAGACAGAAAAGCCTGGGATGGCAGGAGAGAAGAGTGACATATTTCAGGGTGAGCAGAAAGAGTTGTACATGTAAGGAAACAGACCTGAAACTTGCTTGGTGTTGGCCTGGAACTTAGCTAGGGGACCATGGGCAATGACTTCCATTTTCTGAGCCAGATTCTTTTGTTTGTTTTTGCATTTAGAGGCAGCTGGGGGTTGGGGAACTAACTTCTGAGTTCTGAATGAGAAGTCCCACTAAGTGTGCCATAGAGGAGATCTGAGAATGATGGAGCCACTGTGCCTCAGCCAGGGCAGGCTGCCAGCACAGCCTCTTACCAGTGGGTGGTGCGGGCCTGACTTTGATAGGGCATTGCCATATCAGGATCCCTGGACTGGTCCCTGCCCGCCATGAGCCATGGGGATCTCCATAAGGGGAGAGATGGAGGAGGGGCAGGCTTTTCATCCCAGGAACATTCCATTCCATCTGTGCAGACCAGTGGGGATCCCAGCCAAGGACAAAAGCCCAAGGGAACCTCTGCTTCCCCCTAGAGCCCCATTCCATAGTATTGTGTCTTGTACAGGCTTCCCACAATGGCCCCTCTTAAAGAGGTAAATGTTGAAGAGTTTGGGTGGGGCTGGGTGGCTGTGGGAAAGAGGCAATTAAAGCTCTTGGAATTATTCTTTCCAGCTCCTCCTAATTCTTCAGAGCCTCTGCTCTGTGGATCTGGACTCCTGGATTCTTCTGTTCCTTCCCTGGACACTTCCTTCAGGAAGACTTTAAGAACTGGCCCTTATGGGAGTGCTCATCTCACAGTGACAAGGAGCTGGCTTCTGGGGCACACTGAATTTTTATGCCACATTTGCTTACACTATACAACTGGATATGTTACCACAGGGCTGAGATGCAACAGGATTATTTGAGAGTGAAGGAAAAGATTCCAGTGTGACCATGGAAAGGATTTCTTTTACAGAGTCATCATCCTTAAGCAAGTCTTGGCACAGCTGGAGTCCACATTTTGGTAGATGTCATTGCTTCCTAATCTAATGGTGCCAGGAGGCCTGTTTGAGGGAATACACTAAGAAACAGTTTCCCTCACCTACTGTCCTTGTTTTCCCTATGTGGGGTGTGCCTGTGGCCTCCCCACCGACAATCATCTGATGCCTTCTCAGAGGGAGGCACATCTCTTTCTCAGGAAGAGGTAGTGGCAACATAAAGCTTCCAAGCAAAGTTTTAAATGTAGTATCCTAAAAAAGAGGGAAGGGGACGCGTTTATTCACACATAACTCAACACTTGTAGAATCCTGCAAAGTGAATGTATATCGAATCTGTCCCCTGACACATACATGCAGAAAGAATAAATTTCAATAATGTAAGATGAAAGTATGTGGTTTTTGAGGTTCACTTTGCACGTGTCCTTGTTTTTCTTTTGTGTTTGTCACAGCTCTTTCAGTTGACAGTTCCTTGAGTAGATTCTGTTTAGTTGGTGACCTGGGCTTGTTGACTGCTTTGGAAACTGATTTTGCCCTCTACCTGACTCACAGCTGGCATTCCGAAGACCTTTGTTGCAGGATGTGTAAGGAACCTCAGGGATGGTAATGCACATTTGAGACTGGGACCGCAGGAGAGGTTTTTGTCTTTTTTTTTTTTTTTTGTACAGGGGTTTGAGCCCAGGGCATCAGTCATGCTAGGAAAGTGCTTTACCACTGAACCACCGCCGAAGCCTTACCATTTGTGCTGAGGTGCAGCATGACAGCCTGTGAGGTTTATGGCTGTATGGACCTGCTTCTCCCTTGTGATCTACATAGGAAACAGAGAACACATGTACTGGGAGGAGTTTTTAAAAGGGGCTAATTCCAAAGGTGTGGGCTTGGGCTTAAGAAGTATAACAAGTGGGCTGAGGGATCAGCCCAGCAGTAGAGCACTTGCCTGGCACACAGGAGGCCGTGGGGTCCAGCCCAGTACTTGGGGCTCCAAGGGTGGGAAGGCTTTTCTTTTCTTTCTTTTTTTTTTTTTTTTTTGTCTTTTTCGATTTTTATCGGTACCAGGGATCGAACTCACGACTGCACACTTGCAAGGCAGGCGCTTATGCCACTGAGCTAAATCCCCAGCCCCCCTTTTCAGTTCTTGGGCTTGGAGGGCAGAATGGGAGGCAGCTGTGGAGAGGGCTGCTGCCAGGAGTGGTCCTTCCTTTGAGGGATGTGCTCAAGCTTCCTAACCAAGTGAGTGGAGTAGGGCAGATAAAGGTACTTCCTCCGTTCAGTGTCATTGTCAGACACAGTGGAAAGGTAGGGGCAAGAGAGCTATGGATGTCCTCACAGGTGTCAGTCTCCTGGGGCACAGCCTGCAGAAGGCTGGAGAGTGGGTCTGCAGGGGCAGCAGACCATGAGTGACTTTCCCCAAAGTGCACTGCTTCCCCTCTTGAGGGGTAGAAGGGCAGGTGAGGAATTTGTTTAATTTTTTTTTTTTTTTGTCTTTTTCCTTTTTATCAATACTGGGGATTAAACTCACGACTGCCTGCTTGCAAGACAGGCGCTTATGCCGCTGAGCTAAACCTCCAGTCCATAGGTGAGGAATTTGAAGGGTACTTTTTTTCCTTCAACTGTTTCCCTAGTCACTCTGACTCCCAGTTCCTGATTCCTGCCTGTCTTAGCATCTTAAGGTGGCTGCAGGAATCGTCTACAAGAGGAACAAAGTCAGCCACTGAGTCAGTGTTTTTCTTATACCTGAAACACCACACCACTCCCAGACACACCCACAAGCATGCAGTTGCCACCCCAAGCCCAAGTCAGTCACCACAGGCCATGCCTAGTGTCACACATACGTGGAGAAAATTTACCTCTATACTCTGCCAGTCATACATAAAATGATAGATGTTGCAGTGATGTCAAATATGCTCTGCGACACAGTATGTGAATGAGGTTTACTGTCACAGTCATCCACAAGAAGTCACAGTGCAGGGGCAGGACGTTACAAATCTTGACATCTCTGGCCTCAGTTTTTTCATCTGTAAGGTGAAAATAATGGTCATTTTGGAATTTTTGCAAGGATGAAATGAGAGAGAACAATTAGGAAGACCGGAGCATGCATGGCTCCTGGCCTGGAGTAAAGCTTGCCAGATGGTAGCTGTGGCTGTGGCCTCTCATCTCACACACCCCTGCTGCCTCACACCGGTTCTCGTGTGCCTGGCGGCACCTGAAAGCACATGCACAGGGTCCGCCAGACACCCTCCGGCATGTGTGCCCTCCCTCAGACATGCCTGCCAGGGCATGTGAGCATTCACAGGCAAATCCCTCAGCTTGGAACATTCCCCAGATGTACCCATGGCTCCCTTCCACTGCCTTTAAGACCTCATGCAGTCAGATGGCATCTTTCAATGAGGTGTGCTCTGACTTTTTAAATCTTCAAACTTCAGAACTTCCCTTTTCTTACTATGTTTTTTTATTCATCTAAGACCACCTGATTTATGTGCCCAGTAAAAATGTAATCTTTTTTTTTTTTTGGTCTTTTTCCTTTTTATCGGAAATCAAAGTTTGATCAGGGATCAAACTCACGACTGCCTGCTTGCAAGGCAGGCACTTATGCCGCTGAGCTAAACCCCCAGCTAAAAACGTAATCTTCACAAGGGGCAGGGCTGTCTTTTGTTTGTGATGTATTCCCAGCACCTAGTCTAGTAACTGGCACCTGGTGGGCTGGCTGCTGTGTACACACACACACAGAGTATGGGTTTCCAGTTTCCCCATGCCCTTCAATCAAGCACAGGCAGCTGATCCCCACCCCAACCCAGTAAGCTGAGCCTGCTGTGTTCACACCAAGAATCCATCTCATACCTATGCTCAAATGGGCAAACTGGGTGGAACAACCATTGTTCCTCCCAGAACACCCAGTTGGATGAGTGCAATTGGGATGGGGATAGGGAACAGTTAATCACTACAAAAAGCCTTTTCAGCAGGGCATGGTGGCCAATACCTGTAATCCCAACACTCAGGAGGCTGAGGCAGGAGGATTATCATGAGTTTGAGACCACCCTGGGCTACAAAGTGAGCTCAAGGCCAGTTTGAACTACATAGCAAAGCCCTGTCTCAAAAAGACAGGCCCTTCTAGCCACTCAATGCCCAGCAGCAGAAGGGGTGGGGGTACCCAGCAGGGACTCATGGAGCAGGTGAGGTGGCTGGACTGACCCTGATGACCCGAGGCTTCCTCTGTGGCTTTTCTTTCCCACCGTGGCCAGAACCATCAAAGTCACCACTTCAGAGGCACCTAATGAGGCCCCTATGTTAAGAGCTTTGCAATCCTTGGATCAAAGGGGTAGGGTAAACAGTGGGCAGCGTCCGGGGATGAGTAGCTGATGCCCCGAGGGAATAGCTCCTGGAGGGCTTGTGCTGGCATTCCCAGACAGTTTGGCATGGCCCCTGCTGGGCTCAGAGACCCTGCTCCTTCAGGAGAGCTTACAATGAGCCAGAGCACATACATCTGCACTTGCAGGTGAAGAGGAAGCCAGAGGATCAGGAGCCTCTCCCAGGTAGCAAGGCCCTGGGGGGCTCTGGCTCTGAGGGACCCTAGGGGTCTCCCTGTCTCGGTTGCCATTACTAGCCTGGACCACCCATCGTGTTCCCCACCTGCTCCCTGGGCAGAAGTGGGCTGGGCAGAGCTGGAATCAAGCAGCCCTGGGTTCTGGGAGGGTGAGGCTAGGTCTGAGGCTACTAGCACCTCAGGTCGGAAGCCTGGGGACATAGAAATAGTTCCTCTACAGTAAAAGTCCTAGACTTGCTGAGGCAACTTGCAGGTGCAGGTCACACAGTATTCACAAGCTCCCAGTACACAATTGTTAGGCTGGGATGATGGAAGGAAGGTAAAGGTGTCTTGCAGCCACACCCAGACCTCAAACCCCACCCACAGTCCACTTCCCATCATTAAAGCCAGCCTCCGAGTGGGAAAACAGTGGCAGTCCCACAACCACGGAGGAGGGTCTTTCTTCCAGGAGAAAGCAGGCTGCTGGGCTCGGTGTAGGGAATCTTTATTGACAGGTGGTGCAAAATAGCAAATTTAGAACAACAGAAAAGGTGGTAGGAATGTGGTCCCCCCCCAATGTGAAAGTCTGACAACCAAGCCAGTCAGGCAGGAGTACTGGACTTGACTGTCACAAATTTGAACCCAGCACCCTCTGAAGGACACACTCCCAGGCACCAGAGCTCCTCACACCTCAAGGGGAAAGGAGCAACACCGTGGAAGGGTGTAGACTGGATCTCACCGTGGCTGCTTGGCTCCTGTTCCCTGTATACCTCCACCCCTCAGGAGGCAAGCTCCCCAGCTCAGGGTATGGGTTTTAGGAGAATAGGTAAACCCATCCCTCCCCAAACTCGGGGAACTGCCTGTTTTCCTTCTCCCAGTGATTAGCTCTGTACTCTGCCAGTGGTCTAGTCAGACCCAAAGTGAATAGTCTCTGCCACATTTATATTTTAGCCAGTGCTTTGGGGGCTGCTAGGGTACCTGTGGGTTGATGTAGTCAAAACGACCCTTTCTAGGCCACTGTGGGAGTGAAGTGAAGATGCAGGGCATTGAGGCTACCACCCAGCATTAGATGTTCTCCTGAAGGCCACTTATTTTTCAAAGTAATCCTGTACCTCACAACCATGCTGGTCCGAAGGTGGCACAATGACCAAAGGGCTCTCCTGCCAGGAGCCCAGCTTGGCCTTAAACCCGCTGAAACCTCACTCGGGGAAGTCTGATGTGTTTGGATGAAGGCCCAATTCTGCAGCAGAGCTGGGCCAGCTGGCACAGGCTGCCTGTCTCTGGTCGGATCCTCCACACCCTCCTGGTGACCCCACCCCATGAGGCCTGGTGCCTTCCAGCCGGAGTCTGAGTCAGTTACAGGGCAGCCAGGTGGGATAGGAGTGGGCCCGAGCCAGCAGAGGCTGCACGGGGGTCACGTAATAACTGACAGTGGCTGGCACAAGCCCATCAGTGCCTGCAGGGCACCAGGCCAGAGCAGCAGTGGCAGCCGGGCCCTGCTCAGCCAGTGCCTGGAGCGCCAGTGTGGCAATGAGGTCCAGTGTCTGGCGGCGTTCGTGGTTCATGAGGCACACAGTGCTCTCGTTGACCACCCTGTGCAGCGTCACCAGGCAGGCATATCGGCGAGTGGCATCACCCTCACCAAAGTGGGCCTCCAGGTAGCGCTCCAGAGTGCGCTGCTGCTCTGCCAGGTCGGGAAAGTCGATGAAGAAGCGGGAGCACATGTACCGCTGCAGGGCGCGAGCGTCAGTGCTGGGCCGTGGCCGGAAGCCTCGCACCAGGAGGTGGCAGTACTTGAGGAGGCCACCGCCTCGGATCTCCTCGGGGCTGCGAGTGGCGATGACACGGTGCTGCAGGTGCTCCAGGGCCTCGGCGAAGTCCCCATACAGGCTCTCACCTGTCACCGTTGGGTGGAAGGTCTCAGACATGGGCGTAGAGGAGCACTGGCCAAAAAGCAGCAGAGAGTCCAGGATGATCTGGAAGGAGTCGACGCTGAACTCGAACTGGCGCCTCACCGAGGCCACAAACTTGAGCTCCACGTTCTTGCCACTCTTGTTGGACAGAGAGATGAGGCTCCAGCGGTCAGTGTCCGTGCACACTTTCACCAGCTTCTGCACATAGGCCTCCTTGAGTGTTAATGGTGTGATCTTGGCCCGGCTCACACCAGCTGGCAGGAAGTCCAGCAGGCAGGCGAGTGCCACAGCCTTGGTCAGCTGGAAGCATGCCTCACTGTGCAGGTCCACCCGGAATACCAGATCCAGGTCCTTATAGCCCAGGCCACTCTCAGGATGCAGCACATGGCTGGCAGCTGACCCATGTAGTCGTACACTGTGTACCCGAAGTCCCTGTTCCTCAAGGCTGCTGCGGACTACCTGAGGATGGAGGGCAGGAAGAAGAGGCATCAGGAGCCATAGATTCTCAGGTAGCCATCAATACAGTATCAACCACTGCTGACCACTTCCTAACTGTTTGCCTTTGGAAAGTCATTTTTGGTTCTAAGTCTTGATTTGCTAACCAGGGGAATGGCTCATTTGAAAGAACAATTTAGGAAAAACAATAGTAATAACAAATACAAACAGAATTTACAAAGCATCAGACTCTGATGGAAGCACTTTACATATTAAGATATAAAGTCAGCCATGCAGGGTGGTACATGCTTGTAATTCCAGAATCCTGAGAGGTTGAGGCAAGAGGATCATAAGTTTGAGCGCAGCCAGCAGGGGCAACTTAGTGAGACCTTATTGCAAAAATAAAATAAAATGGCTGGTGATAAGCTCATTGTGGAGGCCATGGATTTAACCCCCAGTACCCTAGTTCAAAAAACATAAGAACTCTATGAAGTAGTACTATTACTTTTTTTTTTTTTTTTTTTTTTTTTGTCTTTTTCCTTTTTATCGGTACCAGGGATCGAACCCACGACTGCCTGCTTGCAAGGCAGGCGCTTATGCCGCTGAGCTAAATCCCCAGCCCCTTATTACTTTTAAAACAGAGGGGCCAAGTAACTGCCAAAAAGTCACACAGATGGTGAATGCAGAGCTGGAAATTAGACGTAAAACTATGTTATTCTAGATTTCTAAAACTTCAAGTAGAATACTTTGTTTTCTGCTAAGCACTGTATTCACTGCCCAGATAGGCTGGGAATATAGTTAGCAAGTTCACATGCATTATCAGTTTACTTCATATTAATCTTATGCTTGAAAATTACTATTCCAGTTCACAGATGGGGGACTGGAGGCACAGACAAGTTAAGAAACAGGTCTAGGGCTGGGGATTTAGCTCAGCGGCATAAGCGCCTGCCTGGCAAGCACAAGGTCGTGAGTTCGATCCCCGGTACTGCCAAAAGAAAAAAAAGAAGAAACAGGTCTAGGGGCTGGGGATTTAGCTCAGCGGTGTAAGCACTTACCTGGCAAGTGTGAGGTTGTGAATTTGAACAGCAGTAATAAAGAAAAGAAAAAAAAAAGAAAAGAAATAAGTCTAAAGTTATAGGCAGGCTGAGCCTAGGACCTTGGTTAGTTGGAGTCTCAAGTCTATGCATGTTCTTTTGACGATGACACATACATCTTTTTATTACTATTATTATTTCTAGTACTAGGTTATTTCTGGTACTGGGTTATTATTTATGGTACTGGGGATAAAACTCAAGACCTTGTGCTTGCCAAGCAGGCACTTATGCTGCTGAGCTAAATCCCCAGCCCGTCACATACATCTTATTCCATCCTTACCAGGATCCAATGAGGCAAATACTATAATTTGCAGACAAGGAAACTGAGGCTTAGAGTGAGGAAACAGCTAAGGCTCAAAGGAGAAGCACTAAAAAATAGCAGGGCTGGAAGTTAGTAAGAAAGATCTTTCCTACTGCTGGGAAAGGGGATGGATCAAAGTCTTAGAAAGCTTGGAAGCCAAGTAAGGAGAGATGGAATCCTGTCTGAGAGGCCTGGACTGATGATGGCACAGGAACAGGACAGGACTTGCAATTTTTTTTTTTAGACAGTCTCACTATGTAGTTCAGGCAAGAACTGAACTCCAAGTAATCCAAGTAACCCTCCTGCCTGTCTCCTGAGTGCTGGGATTATAGATATGCACCAATGCACTTGCTCCTCTCTCCCTCTCCTCTGTCTGTCTGTCTCTGAAACTTGCAAGTCTTGAGACTGGTCCTTTAGCTAGAGGCATCTCTCTGGCCTCAGGCACCGGGTAGAGAGAAGAAGAAAGCTGGGGGTGAGGGGGTGTCAGACATTTGGTGTTCTTAGCAACCCAAAGTACTTCACAAGCTGCCCTGAAAGTGACCAGGCAGCATTCCTGCCCCCAAGTGACTCTGCAGCCCCACCTTGCTGCCAAGTCAGCATGCAGTGCTGGGTCAGGTTATTCTGTCTCCCAGGGAATTACTGCAAAGAATGCACTCAAGTGCTGAGGTGGCAAGCTGCAGTGGGCAGCCCGAGAAGGGTGGCTCCCTCCAGGAAGTCTTCCAGTAGGCACTGTCCTGGTCAGGGGGATAAGCAACCGGCTACAAGGCAAATGAGGAGGAGGGGTATAAAGTGGTTAGGTACCTAGCGAGGGCCAGGCCCTGGACCTCACCAGAATCTATGGGAGCTGTGGGGTGTAGCTCAGCTGTCCAGCATGCACAAGGCCCTGGGTTAACGAAATCTCAACCAGGACACACACCAAAAAAGCATTAATTGGGGACAGATCTCTGTGTTATAGATAAGGAGACTGAGTTCACAGGAGTGAAGTCACTTGCTTGAAATGACACAGGGGTGTCTTCGAATCCTTTTTTTTTTTTTTTTTTGATGATGATGATTATAGGGCTCTTAGAGAAGGCATCCAAGACTCTGCACATGCTAACCACCTGCTGAGCTCCACCCTCAGCCCAGCCTGCCTTCTATCACATTCAGTCAGAACAAGTGGAGTAGAAACTTGTGTTCTAATCTTCCTTCCCTTTCAAAATGTCAAAGTGAGTGGGAACCGCAAATCAAACCCAGAGAAGTTAGGGATCAGGAGGCAAGGGGCCTGGGTCCCTTGGGCAGACAGGGCCAGTTGCTGCTGTCAGCCTGCAGGATTCCATGTACACAGTCACAGCTGTGCCCGGGTTAGCCAACGAGAGATGCAGCCCAAAGACATTGAGCCAAGGACCCTGACAGACCTGCAGAACAGACCACCCCTCTCCCCAAGTCCCACTAGAGCTGACTGGGGCTTACTCAGTGTCTGTCCAGCTCCCTGGCTGGGGCCTACCCCAGGGCACGGCATCTGGCCTGATGAGTAGGTAGCAGTACCCTCATTAATTCCCTGCGTCAGGGCCATGGGGCCAGCTGTGTCAGCCAGCCAGTGGCTGTTGTCTTTCTCAGGTGTGACTACAGCCAGTTTGGCAGGCAGTCCCCAGATACTGCCACACCCAAGGGCTGCAAGGCAGCTTGGATTCTCCTGAATCAGACTTTCCAGCCATGGAGGGGGCAGTGACTGTCTCCTCTTCTCCTGTGCCAAGGCCCTCCCCAGATCTGCTCTGCTCCAGGGCTGCTGCTGAGACCTGCAGGAAGACTAACAGCCGCTGTCAGCCAGCAGGCTTGCAAAACTCATAACCAAGGCTGCCCCTAGTCTGGTCCTCTGGTTGCAGTTGGAGAAGTCAGACTGTCTAGATCAATTCTCAGAGCCCAGAGAAGGCAAAGGACTTGCCCAAGGTCACACAGCTAATAATTGCCTGAACTTAACTAGAACCAGGTCTTCCAGAACTACCAAGGGTGGTGGCAAAGAGTGGGGTAGGGTGGTGTGTGCCTAAAAGGGGGTGGGTCCCTTTGTTCTAGGTACAAGCAAGGACACATCTCTAAGTGCTGGGATTACTGTTGTAGGCAAAGCCTTCTGAGGTGCAGAGGGAAATATGTCTCAATTCATTTTGTTTCTTTTTTTTTTTTTTTTTTCTGTCTTTTTCGTTTTTATCGGTACCAGGGATCGAACTCACGACTGCCTGCTTGCAAGGCAGGCGCTTATGCCGCTGAGCTAAATCCCCAGCCCTTCATTTTGTTTCTTAAGATGAGGGTTTCACTGTCTACCCTCAACTCATATTGGGCCTCAAACCCACATTAATCCTCCTATCTCAGCCTCCTGAGTGCTGAATTACAGATGTGCACCACTATGGCACAGCTTCAGCTCTGAATTTCTGCCCAGAGACAGAGTTTCTATGCTGTGGAAGCAGTTGTAGGGGCCAGGTGAATGCACCTGTTCCCTTTGAGCTGTGGAACCAGGAAGCGTTGTTTGCTTTGGGTACAGGGCCTTTTTACTGAGCTACATTCCCGGCTCCTTTCTTTTGAAACAGTGTCTTACTAAATTGCTGAGGTTGAGCCGGTGTGGTGGCACATGCCTATACTCCCAGCACTCAGGAGGCTCAGGCAGAAGGATCATTGTGAGTTCAAGACCAGCATAGGCTATAAAGTGAGCTCAAGGCCAGCCTGAACTGCATAGTGAGACCCTGTCTCAAAAAAAAAAAAAAAAAAAAAATGCTCAGGCTGGGCTCAAACTTGAGATCCTCCTGCTTCAGCCTCTCACTTCAGGGCCGGGATTACAGACATGTTCTACCATACCCAGCAAATGCAATTGCCAAGAGTCCAGGCACTGAACAGAGATGTTCTTCCTCTCCACCCAGCTCTACTACCACCCTTCTACAGCAGACATCACCTGCTCTGTGATGCTTCTGACCCAATCCAGGAGGACTTCCTGGTGTTTTTTTTCTTTCTTCCTTCCTTTTTTTTTTTTGACACCAGGTCTCACTGTGTATTCAGGCTGGCCTTGAACTCCTTATGTAGTCAGCCTGGCTTCAAACTCTCAGCAGTCCTGCTTCAGTCTCCTGAGGTGCTGGGTTACAGCTGTACACCACACACTCAGCAAGGAGGACTTTTTACTACCACAGCATAGTGAAGTCAGCTCCTACCAGCTACAGCCTCCCCCGTATGGCTGGGAACACCTGAAGGCAGAGAGGCTGGGTCCTAGTCACATCTGTGCTCCAGGGCCTGCCTTCATGGGGCTTAGGACCAAGCAGGGACCAATAAAGGTAATTTGGACCACATCTGTCCCTGCACAATGGATACCACCTTCTCGCCCCTCTCACCCTGGGATTGAGCCCAGGTCGTGGGGAGAAAAGCCTCAGCTGGTTTCCTAATCATCAAGATGACAGCGGGCAGTGAGGAATGCCTGGGCAGTCAGGAATGCCTCAGTGAGTCCCACTGGTGCTGTGGGTGAGTCAGCCTGGGAGAATCTGCTGGCCCTCCCACCTCCCCCCCCCCCTTGGTTCCTAGTTCCTCAGAAGGGAGGGGAGGCTGGCCCCCAGCAGGCATTCCTCCTAGGCTGAGGAACAGCTAGTGTCACCTAGCTTGTATGGAAAGTCTGTATGCTGGCAGCAACATATGGGAATCAGCACTGAATTTTCTGATTCTAACAGAGGGCTTCCCTAAGACTTAGCCCTTCAGTTTGGGAGCCAGAGAAGGAGTAAGAAAATCTTGAACCTGTTGCTCTCTGCTCTTGGGAAGGCTCAAGATTCCCTGGGCTGGATTTTCAGCTCTTAAGTAACTTTAGGTGGCTCATTGCCCCTCCAGAGGCCTCTGCTTTCTCAGCTATAACATGGGTGCGATAATTACTATCCTCTGCTATTTCAGAACATGACAGTGCCTGAGTTACCCAGATGAAACGGCAGCTTTGGAGTCATTGGGGGTGGAGGGTTTCAGGTAAAAGGAAGTTTCTGAAAGAGAGAAGGGCTGCCAGAATTCTCTCTAGTCCCTCAAGACAGAGCTAGGCTTAGGGTGGACACCTGGGCTGGCCTTCATTTCCAATCTTTCATTTTTTCCCCTAATGGTGAGGATCAAACCTAGGGCCTTGTGCATGCTAGGCAGGTGCTCTACCACTGAACCACATCCCAGTTCACTTCATTTTCAATCTTGGGGAGGGCCAGGTGTGGTGGTATGTGCCTGTAATCTTAGCACTTGGGTTGAGAGTTTGAAGCCAGCCTGTGCTACATAAGCAAATTCAAGACCAGCCTGCACTACACTGTGAGACTCTGTCTCAAAAAAAAAAAAAAAAAAAAAAAAAAAAAAAAAAAAAAATCTTGGGGAGGAAGGAGGACACCTCCACTGGATATTTAACATTGCTTTCAGAGATGGGGGACTCAGCTCAGTCGCTTAATTAATCTCCTGCCATGATCTTAATGAGAGACAGAAAGGGTTTCTGCTGGGAATTCTGGGATTTTTCACCTAGCCAGGTGTTCTTGAGCCAGGGACTGTGGCATATGAGAACAGAGTGCCCCTACAACCCTGAGACAGGGATGCTGGGTGGAAAAAAAGCTATTTTGTCCCCAAGCACACACCCTTCCCATGGGATGCGTGCCTGACATCTGCTGTCCTTGCAGTCCAGGAGATGGCCCACAGAGTCCCTCTACAGTCTTCACTCTCCAGGCCTGGCCCTGAGTAAGTAGTGGTGGTGCTGCGGGGCGAGGACGCAAATTAGGTGGGGAAGGTTTATTAGGTGCAGGGGAAGATGTCTGGTCTAGCGTCAATGTGCTATGCAGTTGTTACAGGACACGTTCCCGTTCATCAGTTTCCCAGACATCTAGCAAACTGAACAGACTCCAGCTGCCTTGCCGGCATGCTGGCATCAGGACAGACCCCCTCCGACCCTCTCCGCCACCCCACCCCCACCCCCCGCTCACCTGCACGATCTGCCGGGGCTGCACGCTCAAGGTAGGGAAGTTGCCCCGCCCGTGGATGGGAATCGGCTCGCTCAGGAGCGCGTCCAGCCGCTTCACTTGTGGCCAGGTCAGCCTGCTCAGGTGTTGTTCAGGAGAGGCTGATGAGGTCTCCGGGTCGGGGCCGCCACCAGCCGGGGCCGCCGTGGCCGCAGCCGTCCCTCCCTGCGCAGCCGCCCCGTCTAGGCGCTCAGCCCCGCTCTTCGACGGCATCATTCGCCCGGCCCCGGGGCCCCGACGGCAAAAACCGAGGGGGAGGGTGATAAGGGGGACGAGGGCAAGGAGAGCGGTTGGGCCTAGGCTGGGGCGGGGATGCTGGAGCAGGGAGGCAGCGGCGGCGAGGTAAGCCCGGGGAACACCTGCAGCGACGGCCGGGACTATTCGACCCTAAAGCCTGTTGTTGGGCGCCCAGCTGACTCTTATAGGCCGCGGGCGACACGCCCATTGGTCCTGGCAGCTGTCACACAGCCGGAGCCGGCTCGCCTCTCTTCGTCCCTACTATTGGGCAGCAGAGTTTTGCACGTGCGTCACTGTTCTTCAGGAAGATTCCGATTGGTTGGGAGGCACGCCTGTGCCCCGCCCTCCTTCCCAGGCTGAATTCCCTCCTTTGGTCTTCTAAGAACTTTTGTTAACTGTGACTGGGCCGCGGTAGCCTGAATTTAAAGGTACGGCGCCGTCCAGCGGCTGGCGAGAAGAAAGGGGTCTGTAGAGTTTGTAGCAGAGTCAGGTCACTCAGGATTGATTGATTGATTGATGGCTCGATTTTCAGATATGCGCTAGAAGAAATCACCTGGCCTAGTCCTGATCATCCGCTATTTTCAGGAGCCCAAAGAGATTGAGCCGCTAGCTCGACTCCACCTTATACTCTTCCAGAGAGTAGGAAAGGTAATTCACCGTGTGTATAATAAGGCAGATTCTTCCACACTCTCTTAGCAGACCTTCACAAGGCACAGCATGGCTGGCTTTCCCGTACCCATTTAGGTGAGGAGAAATCTGTTGAGAGAGGCTGGTAGTTCCAAGTGTCACAGGCTCTGACCATGAACCAGGGAATAAAATCTGTGGCACATGTTTGCCAGGACATACTGATTATTTTCATGATGGAGAGCTGGTACAAGTACACATCTTAATTCTTTTTACATCTCCTTTCTCCCTTCCCTCCCCATGCTACTTTTGAATTCATCTTATTCTGATATTAAGTACATGTGCTGTAGCTAAAGTTCAGAAATTGTCTCTCTGATTCAGTACTGTAATACTTTTTTTTTCCAGTACGGGGGATCGAACTCACTGCTTGCAAGGCAGGTGTTTATGCCGCTGAGCTAAATCCCCAGCCCCCATACTGTAATACTTTTACTTGGATCATTCGAATTAAATATTCTCCTGACAGTCTCCCATCTCCCTGTACAGCAAGCTGGGAAGGAGGACTAGGCCACATTTACAGAAGCAGAAACCAAGACCTAAAAACAGTAAAGTACATCCCAAGGTCATGAGCTGACCCTGATTTACTTGGGCCCAGGCCCCAGGAGGCTGCTTTCCTCTCTTGGAGGCGCCCCAAGCACAGTGCTGCCCTGTCCACCTCCAGTCTCTCACTGATCTACATCTGAAGCCTTGGGGCTTCCTCTGGTCTGCAGAGAGAGAATCCACTACTCTCCTCCTGTGACTTTGGGCAAGTCCCTCCCACTCTCTGTAGTGTTATTTTACCTTCTTTTGAAAGATAAGAAACAGTTAAGAAATCTTCTTTGGCTTCCTCCAGATTTTCCAAAACAGAGCTACTAAGTCTCCCTCCCGCCAAGCTACAGCTGAGACAGCATCAGATTCACCACAGCACTGTCTCTTGCCCCTTCCTCTTTGCCTCAGAAGAGGAGGAAGGGAAAGGAAACTAACATTTACTAAATGCTTTACTACACTCCAGGTAACTTTACATACCCGACCTCTAATTCCTAAAAAAGGATATCTCCAGATGTGGGGTCATTATTCCCAATTTATAGATAGGAAACAGAGGCTTAGAGAGGCCAACTGATATACCTGAGGTCATGCAACCACTAATTGGCACTATGGGAGTGGAATTTAAGTCTCCTGACTCCAGAGCCCTATTTTTAAACTGATCCTGAAGAGTTGGCACAGATTAGGGTCATGTTTGCCACAGGGTCATGCTTAACCCTGCCTGTGAGATCCATCCTTTGGTTCATTCTTTAGTCTGTCTGTCTACATATCTGTCTACCTACCTAGTCTGTCTATATAGTCTATGAGTGCCTTCCATGTCTAGGGGTTCTGGGTAAGCCCTGACATAGAATAGGCAAAGTCTTTGTTCTTTTACTTAACCTTCTAGGACTTTTAAATGTGGAAAGACAATAGTGAAGGAAACAAATGAGACATCTCAGTAGTGCTAAGGAGAAAACAGAATAGGATCATGGACAGAGAACAACTGTGTGTGCACAGGGAGGGGGTTGAAGGGAAGAGAGAAAGAACAAACTAAGAGATCAAAGTGCCTTGTTAGATGCTGTGATCATGGAAGGCCTCCCTAATAAGGTAATCCTTCCCTCCTGCCTTTTTTTGTAGTATGAGGTATTGGACTCAGGACCTCAGACTTGCTAGGTTAAACTCTTCCACTGAGCTACATAAATCCCCTGCTTGAGACAGTCTTGCTGAGTTCCCCAGACTGGCTTTGAACTTGTGAGCTTCTTAACTCAGTGTCCTGAGCTGTCCCTGGACAGCAAAGTCAGCAGAAAAGGTACCTGGTTCCACATCCCTAGAACTCTTAATGGCCCAGCTAGAAGAAACTTGGATAGTCATTTGTTTACCCTCTTCTCAGTTTTTCAGTGGGGAAACTGAGGTACCAAAAGCAGGAAGGATTTACCCCAGGGGGACTAACTAGGGCTGGCAGGGCCTCCTGGGGGCTGGGTAGAGCTCTGCCTGTCCTACACATTTCATCAAGTTTTCTAAGGAAACTCTGGGTCTTCTCACTCCTTTCTTCTGTCTGGGCTAGAAAGAGCAATTAGTAAATTCAGGCATTTGTGAATCACTCCTCTGTTGACACTTCCATTCCCAAAGCTGATGATTCCCATATTTGCCCAGTGTGGATGAGGCTGACTTGGGAATGAAGGAAGCTGAGAGGGAGAAACGTATACCCAGTAGGATCCTACGTTCTCAACAAGCCCAGCTTTTTATTGTCTCAGTGAATGGAGGGAAGTCTTGGCAGGGCTTATCTCAGTAAAACTAGCTTTTTATGGTTTTGTTTTGTCTTTTCAAGACAGGGTTTCACGATGGAGTTTGGATTGGCCTTGAATTCACTTTGTAGCCCAGGCTGGGCTTAAACTCACAGTGAACCTCCTGCCTCAGCCTCCCAAGTGCTGGGATTACAGGTGTGAGCCACCAAGCCCAGCTACAACTAGCTTCTTGATGTTATTCATGAGCTTCTCCTTGGAATTCTGTACACACTTTGCATCTTAATTAGGACTCTGGCTGATTTTTACTCTGTATGGCAATTGAGTCTTTTTTTTTTTTTTTTTTTTTTTTTTTTGGTCTTTTTGAGACAGAGTCTTACTATGCAGTTCACGCTGGCCTTGAGCTCACTGTGTAGCCCAGGCTGGTCTCGAACTCCACAAAGATCCTCCTGGCTCAGCCTCTTGAGTGCTGGGATTACAGGCGTGAGCCACCACGCTTGGCTGGCAATTGAGTCTTAATGACATAGGCAAGTCATTTTTCCTGTCTGGACCTCAGTTTCTTATTCTATAAAGTGGGAATGCATTAGGGATCAGGCTCTTGCATTCCTACCTTCTATAATTTCAAGGGGCAGGAAGAGAGAAGGGCCTGGGGAGATCTTAATCCCTATATTGGCTTGGTCTAGCTTTGGGACCCCAGATAAGAGTGTCTGGGACTTGCTGTGCAGATGCACTGTTGCCTATATCACTGAGCTTGCTCTTCATGGGTTCCACAAGCTCATTAAAATTTCAGAGCATAATCTTCTGGCCCAAGAGCAATCTCTCACTTTGCAGAACAGGAAATGCCAGCTCAGAGAAACTTAAGACATTTATGCAGGTCCCACAGTGGGGAAGACTTTCTTATTCAGGTCTGATTGAGTCCTAGGCCTGTGCCCCTCACAGGACCCTGCCTCTGAGGATGCCTTAGACAGTGCATGTGTACACAGGTGACCCGCTCCTGGGGAGGGCCATATGGCCTCCTGCTGCTCCCACCCTCCATCCTGCCTTCTTTCGTCAAGCCCAAGGTAAAGGACCTGCTGTCATAATCCTGACCCTGCATAATTTCAATACCCAGTATCTGAGCCTCCTAAGACGGTTTCCTATATTTTCTGTTCAAGTTTTACAGAACTTCAGCTCCAATAATTCTTTGACCCACGAGGACCTTCTGTCTCCCTCTTCCCTTGTGTCCTGACTTTCCTCCTTAGTCAGCTTAGGGACCTGGACCATCAGTGTAATTACTTTCTTGAATACACCCTCACCCCCCTTGCTCCCTGCTCATTAAATCCCATCCACCTGGCAAAGCCACACCCTGCCTAATCCCAACAATCTGAGGAAGCTAGAGACCTGCTGACTGATCCCACTTTAACATCAGTCCGCGGTCCTGGTTGCAAGGAGCCTGGTATTGTCTGCCGATCCCGCTGTCTTACCTGGTCTTTCCTTCTCCCACTGTCCTGGAGGTCAGGTCATCCCAGGGGCTCCTCAGTCCTGAGGTTCTTCCTGCGTGCATCCTCCTCTCAGCTGAGACCTTGCTTCCCACCTCACCAAGGATATAGAAACAACCTGGCCTCTCCACACACTCTTCAGCATTCACCCAGGCGCCTCTGCTGTGTGATGGGCCTGCTGCTCCTCTGTGTGGCTACCAGCTACTGGGCCCCATCCTGCTCATTCCAGAGACTTTGCTCCTTTTGTTGACTGGGTATTCCAATCTTCATTAAAACACTGTTTTTTCTTTTTTTGCAGTAACGGGGATTGAACTCAGGATCTCGCCTTTGCTAGGCAGCCGCTTACACCACTGAGCTAAATCCCCGGCCCAAAACATCGTTTGTTGCAGGGCATGGTGGTGCACACCAGTAATCCCAGCATTTGGGAGGCTGAGGCAGGAAGATCATGTGAGTTAAAGGTCAGCCTAGGATACATAGTGAGTTCAAAACCACCCTGAGCTGCATAGTGAGACCCTGTCCCCAAAAAACCAAAACAACGCCAGGTGTAGTGGTGCATATCTGTAATCCTAGCACTCACGAGCCTGAGACGGGAAGATCACTGCAAGTTTTTGGCCAGCCTGGATTACAAAGGGACTTCAAGACCAGCCTGAACTGTGTAGTGAAACCCTGTTTCAAAAAGACCAAAAACAAAAACAAAGAACAAGAAAATGAAAACAACCCTCCAAAAAACCCCCAAAACCACTATAAAACCAAAGAACCTCTCTTGTCCCACCACTTCCTTCCCCTTTGATCCTGGTTCTCTAAAC